TGATAAATTGCAGTGACTCCAGAACCGTGCGGCACGCCTTCTTACACTGAGTAATTTTTTGTGCTTGATATATAGAATAATACGTAAAGGAGTAATTCGCTTCATTTTATCCACAAGATTTACTTTTATCGTTGAAAGAAGTTGAAGAAACATGCATTTTCACTCAAAAATGGCCTGACCACCTGCTACTTATGACGTAATATTTGTGACCATAGTAGCTGATCATCACTAAAGTTGTCGCAAAATTCGCGTTAGGAATAAATGAACAGCTACTGAAACTTCAGTTACAGATTTTCAATCGTCTAGGAAAAAAAAACTCAGAAAAACCTTACAAGGGGTTAATTGGCATACCCCCCCACCTCCCTGCACGTCCGAAGGTAAACAGATTCGTTATCGCGATTTTTCAAAAGTCATCAATTTGCACCTGGACATGAACAACTCTTACTTTTCTCACATCTGAAGGATACTACTTTTTCTTATAAATTGAAATTGATTAATTATTCCCAAGAGCCATAATGACTCTTGTTATTCCGGACACTGACCTTTTTAGTTACAAAAGGAAGGGTACACTTTAACCTCTTAAAACATCTTTGGTGCTTATATCCTCCATACAAATCGATATTTTTTTCTACCTATACAATATAGTAATACACTTTGCATCCGTGAAACGTTTGACCAATCATGCAATATGTTTTGACTATTTTTTTTTCACCTTTTTATAGCTACCCATCCTCTCTAGACTACCCTTTGTTGGTACCCTAGCACGTCTTTCCAAGTGGTGGCAAATTGAGTAAAGGCGGGAGAGTAGAGAATTATTCCTGAATTAACATTACGTGATTAAATGCCAGTTTGTCAGGTTAATTGACCTACTTTGCAGTGGTGGGTCATACAAGCATTTGAGGCGTCTGGTAATTTGATGATCGAAGAAATCTTCATGTAATTTGAAAGACGAAAACCCTTTATTCATCTATTTATAAAATTTCTCACAAGCACAATCTCTATAACATCAATTAAAAATAACAAAAAACTAAGGTGCATCGTAAACATCTAAGTAGGTACTTTGTTATTCACAGATTGAGTAAAAAGGCGTGCATATCCATCATTGAAATCGGATACCTCGACGATCAATAATACTAAAAGTAAAACCAAAACCCTTTTTTGATACATGTGCGCGTCATAATAATCCCGCCCCCATAAGACAATGTTACTTGCACATAACCTTATTCTTGAGCTAATTGCTATTTTGCGTATCAAACGCAATTTCTTGTAAGAGACTGTTTCAGCTGAGTCATTGTGATCCATTTTGTGGGCGTCATTTTAAAACTCCTTACATTGTCCTTTTATGTTCTTTTATGGAAGTAATAAAAAAAAAGGAAATAGTGGAGACATACCTCAATAAAGATATTAGCTTTTATGCAGCTGGACTAAAGATACAGGTTACATGTGGAATGTGACCAATTGTATCAGCCACCAAAGATTGGCTTATGAGTAACCGATCAGGGTGAGCAACTCTTTGTAAAACGATAACGATTAATTGACCTCCGTCCACTTACAAGTGTTTACGAGTGTTGATGCTTCTCGCATGCCTACTACGCTGTTATATTGGTCTTTCATTCAAAGTTCTCATACATTATATTTTTATCCGTCTCTTGACTTCTTGATACAGTTTCAAACTATTCTCCTTCCCCGCTATTATATATATATCACTGTTTTCGTATACAAAGTAGGTGCCTCAATACTAAAGCTTTTGACAGTTAAAAATAAAGCAATAGGTGGTGGCTATGTAACCCCGCTATTACACCTACTCGTATGGTAAATGGCTCCTCAATAAAAGTTCTTCAGCATTGTGAATAAGCCAAGCAATAGCAGTGGATTTGGTCAGCCTGTGAAGTAACCTTTTAGTTCAGAGTTTTGGGGTCTCACTGATATTTTCTAAAAGTTGTTTTGTCATATTGTTAGTCAGTTTTATGAAAAACATTTGAAGAATATTGCAAAATTATATTGATCTATCAGCTGAAATAGATAGACGCCCATTTTAAGGTAACCACTAATATATAAGGCTCTGTTCTAGGACCGCTCTTGTTTTTAATATATTATTATATCATTGATATATGTAAAAGCTCTGAGATATTATCCTTTATTATATTTGCTTATGATACAAATCTGTTCTTAAGTCACCAAAATTTATTGTTTTCAACAATACCATGAACCAAGAATTAGAGAAGGATACATTGTGGCTAGCAGCAAACAAATTATCATTGAAAGTTGGAAAAGCTAATTTTATGATCTTCAAAAGCAAAAATAGAAAGGTTCAACATAAAGTTCCTGTAAATATTGCAGACCAAAATATGACAGTCGATCACACAAAATTCTTAGGGGTATACATAGACGAAAATTTTGTTGGAAACTTCATATCAGTTGTATGTTTCAAAAATGGCAGGAATAATAGCAAAAAGCAAGACATTACTTAGAGCTTAAAAATTTAAAGGAATTATACAATACCATGGTTTATCCATGACTGGCCTATTGTAACATTAACTGGGCAAGGACATAATTATCCAGCTAGACTAAGATCTATTCATATAGCACAAAAGAAAATAGTAAGACTCTTGACTTTTTCAAGTTTTCGACAAAACTTGTCAACCTTTGTTCAATTTATTAAAAATACTGAATATCTTTTAAATAAATCTATTCATAATTGCAAGCTTCATGTACTTACATTATTATGGCAAACGTCCTGAAACTTTAAATGACTACTTCGTAATGAATGATAGTATACACTCCTGTAATACTAGGTCAGATTCAAAAATACACATTGATTTTAAAAGAACAAATTACGGAAAATTTTCTCTTCAGTATAGAGGAGCAATAATATGGAATAGTTTACCAAATGATACGAAGGAATTAAAATCAAGCAACGCCTTTAAGAAAGTATTACATCATGTACAATCAGCAAAAAAATACTCTTTGATAGTGATACTTTATACGCCACCTTTATTTTTATTTTCAACTATGTAAAGAAATCATTGGGGATCCTTAAAAAAAGCTCTTAAGAGCTTACTGTGTTTCCTTTTGCCTTAACTATTTCCAATATTTATGTATCACGCTCTACTTTAACGTATCGAGCACTCTAGTACGGAAAAATCGAAACACAGTCTTCCTACATATATATTGAAATAACAAGATTATGTACGATGTATGAAGGTTGACAAGTAAAACAAGATATCCATGCTCAAGTTCTATCAGCGAAAATTGAACAAAATCGTATAACTCCCCCAATAATGATTCACATCACGGATTCCATGTATTCCAGTGACGGGTCGGTTATGAATCAGGGTATTCAATATCCATGAGTCCTCGAACCCAACGAGTTAATAGCCATTTCAATTTGTTATTTTGCAAGAGAAGAATATGCGAGCTTTCTAGTATGCTGTTGTTGTCATGTTATTTGAATAAGCTCAGATGATTTGCTTTGTTCTTGAGTTTCTAATGATACATGTATTCTTATTTTTTAAATGATATTGTGATACAGATATTCAGTACCAAAAAAGAGCTCTTGCGAAACTTGCTCCTTTTGGTCAGAGCTCCCTTTTTACAGTATTCAGTTTTATCATGTATCATTTTATGAGCAGGTTATATTTTACCGTCATCTATATGAGCACTGATCAGGGAATTTTCTATTGCAAATCAATCTCGGATGTTTTAACAAAATAATAATAATAATAATAAAAGAAAGTGGTTATATTACCGTTGTTTGCCAACGCCACTGTAGCAGCAAATAATTGCAGTCGATCAGGTTTATCTCGATAGCTTTATAGACGTAGTCAAATGGTGTAGGCGCCAGCTAACATGTTCGAAAGTAAGCAGGCAAACAGCTTAAACGACTAGCCTGCGCCACAAAGGTAACTTAACTTCTAACGGTGGTTAGATTACGTCTGTTACGCAGGCTATAAAAGACTAGCTAGACGAAAAAGGTTAACTTACCAACTTAAGGAACGCTAGACGAAACGCAATACTATGATCGTGAAATTAGGGACTATTACGCTCTTAACCAAATTTTAATGTCTGACTTATCTACAATTGTCGTGAGAGGAGGACCTTGAGCGGAGACCTCGTGTTTTATTAAGGCTCGTTCGGGTATTTCCTTCACTAATAGTAACTGTGGTAAATTATTTCACTAGAAAATTTCCAAAAAGAAAAGAAAGAGAAAGAAAGAGAAGACGTAAATTAAATACAATTTGTATACAAAGAATCTTTAAAAGATAATAGGTATGCATTAAATATTTACATTATAACGCAATCTCGATCGAGGGGAAGTACTTAGAAAAGGCGGAAATAATAAAGACACACCTACATAAAAATAGAGCAATAATATTATTAAATCGGCAACAATATCGCTACGCCCTCAGTTGCGGATGAGGACAAACCTCAATGGCGCGGGTAAAAGTTCAAAGTCCTATTTTTGCAAACCTCAATATCTCTCTGTCTGGTGTAACAAATTACCATTAAATGAAATGTGTTGGCCAGGGGTGAAAGGTTCCTTTCCCTTTCCTTTTTTTAGGTGCGTTAAGTGTAGTTTCAGGTAGGTTAAGTGTAAAATATGAACCATGACTTATACTCAATCACGCTTTCTCAAACACTGTTGTTTAAAGCCTTTATAACTTCCTTGATATTTTTGGCAATTTTGAATAAATTAAACAACTGATTACTATGGATTACTATTAATAGGGGTTAAAATACGACATTTACAATAGGAAACACTTTTAGTCAAGAAGGATATGCACCTATTGGCTTTTATGTAGCTTACAGAGCTTTAAGTGTAGGTCCTCATAATATTTTCGATGTCTTGGTAACAAAATGTGATGTTTAAATTTCAAACATGATGTTAATTTTAGAAAGATATCCTGGATATTTCTTTTGAATCAAAATATCACGATACATACGATGGTTACAAAGCATATAAAAGCACGACGTGCGCTTCCATGAACCAGTAGTCAACTGCAGAAGATTTGGAGATGAAGACTCTAATTCTGTTGGCATTGCTTGGCTTTGTACTGGCCTTCAGCTTGGCTATTCCATTCAACGAAGATACTGCTGAAGCATATGATGCTGAAAGGAACGAACTTGAGAGGGACATCCAAGCAGACGAAGATGAACGGTGAGAAGGAAACGTGGGCGTGGCATCATGTTAATGAAAGATTTCCGAAGAAAATTTTAGCTTATCTGTAATATATTAAAATGCCATCATTCCTAGTCTTCTAAATGTGTAGTACATGCTTTTGTTTGTACATTCTTCAAACAAAAAAGCTTTGTCAAAACATTTTATTATTATTATTATTATTACTATTATTATTATTGTTATTATTATTATTATTGTTATTATTATTATTATTATTATTATTTATTTCATTATTATTATTACTATTTTTTTTGGTTTTGTTTTTTTTTTAGCAGTTGAAAGAAACTTTTGAATCTTAGAGGTTGACAGTTTTTTTTTTATTGAAATGAAATGTTTTTTAATTCGAAAAAATTTTTTCTTAGTTTTAATTAACTTTTTTTTTAAGCTAAATTAAGTGCTTTTTTTAAATCGACAGAAATTGTAAATAGAGTTTTTGAATGAATAGTTTTTTCTTTTTTTTTTTAAGCGAATTAATTGTAAATAGGATTTTAATAGTTTTTTTTTTTTAATAAAATTGTCTAGTAGTTTTATATTTCAAAATAGTTTGTATTTCTTTCTCTACAAAAATTGAAATAAAAATTTGTAAAAACATTATTATTATTATTATTATTATTATTATTATTATTATTATTATCATTACTATTATTTTTAGTTTTAACTGTTTTCTTTTTTTTCTTGAACGTTTTTCGTCCAGCAAGTTACTGAATCAGTTATGAACTCAACAAGGTTAAATTTCTGTTTATGGGATGATGTTATACTGTACTTGAATTTTGTTGTGTCTCTAGATAAAAACTTCTTTAAATTGATCGCCAACAAAACACATAACTAATGGTTTTGGCTATGGGTACCTGTGTTGGTCTGCTAAGTTCACCACGCAGCCTTGTCTAATTGTCGGTAAAGCACAATTATAATTATAGCCTTTGCCGGATAGTTAAATAAAAAGGTATAGTTTACAGTTTGATAATTTGGATGAATGAATAAAGTTTGCAACAAGCACTGGGAAAAAACTTTCGGATTTACACAAAAAACAAATATCATATCATTAGGATTAAATATCGAATATCAATTTCATTTGCCTTATTGCAGGAACAAAGGTATAAACGACAGAAACGAAAACGATCAAGACGAAGAAGACGATGACGAAAACGTTTATGCTGTACAGCCAGTGGACGATGATGACCAGGAAGTGGAGAACCAAGATGAGAATGAAAACGCTTTGATCAATCCAGGAAATAAAGTTGAAGAACCTGTCTGGCCTCTTCTCATTGGTCGCGCAGTATTTCGACGTTTCCGCCGACGTAGACGTAGACGTCGCGGAGGCAGGCGTCGCAGACGTAGAGGCCGTCGATGGGGTTAATGCCGGAAATGTTAAAAGTAGGCTATCTGTAATGTATCAGTTCCGATCTACCCATCCATCCATCTATTTGTATTTGTCTGTCGGCCTGTTTCTTTGTTTGTCTATTCATCTGTACATTGTTTCAAGTGCAATCTGGACAGAGGAGTGCATTTCTTTTCTCACATCTCCACAATTTTGTTTTTACTGTTTAAAGGAAGATGTGTCTTTTTTTCTTCTTCTTTTTTTTATTCTCGTTTAACAGTACGGAATGAGAACAGGTCATTGAATATTTCTTTTATTAGTTGCAACGACACGTAAGAAATCGATTTATTATCACCTTGATTTCTCAAAAATCAGTCACTAAATGCAGGCACTTTTAGAGACATTACCAAGCGATTACAATCGGATAATACATTATTTATCATTTTTATTTCATTTTTTTACATTTTTGCTGTCTCTAATTCTTTTTATTATTTCTTGCACCTTTTCTAGGTTTGCCCGAACGTCCCAATTGAAAGCGACTGCCTGGACAGGATTTAATGACTGGATCAAACAGCGAGCAATTTATCTAGTTATCGTAAACTCTCTTGTGCAAAATATGGTTTGCTCTTGTAGTTGTCTAGAACTCGTTTACGTTAGAAAGTTTATATTTTATAAAACAGTTTTACATTGACTTAATATCTTAGCATGCATATAACAAAACTTACTACCAAAGATATGTAAGTGAACTTAAACTGAATAAAATAACTGCAATTGAACGAGTTGTCGAGTTCTTCTGTGTCTCACTGTAACTTTCTGTTGGCTAAGATAATGGAAGGCATTACTCACTGTGGTTTGTGTATAACAGGACTCGTTTATGCTTTCTGACAATGTAGTCACTTTATTGATCGCGAACTCTTGGCCGCCTACGGCTGGTCTCCATCATGAGATGATCGATGATGCCATCCATTTATTTTGCAGCATTAGCGTATAGCCAACGCATATGCCTGTTAAAACTTTCTGTTGTTATTGGGTAAAAAAAAAAACGAGAAAAAATCCCCTATATAAATGCGTCGGCTGTACTTGCATGCTACTAACGAATTCACCCTTAACCCTATTCAGACCGGAGGAGGCTTTGGGAGCCACCCTCCTCCCTACCCTCCCCCCCGCCAACCCCCCTGCCCCCCTCGCTACCAAACCGTTCAAGCTATGACCACGAAACTTAGCGACTTTTCCTAAAAATTATCTCGGGACATTTTAACGTCATCGTGACGTGTACGTCAACGTTTAGATTAACATTGCAACCAACTTTTTACAGCCATGTTCTTCAAAATTTGCCTTTTAAAAATTGAATTAAATTTATTTTCTACTAATTAAAGTTTAGCCATACACTCACTTCAGCAATATTTCATGTAATATATTATAACTGTTAGAGTAATCCAAGCTTTTTAGTGATTGATTTGAGAAAAAAAACATGAGTGACCAAATGGCACGTGCTGGGTTAAGATTTTAACAGTGATAGTTTCCCTAGGAATTTCATAACTTGCGGACGTTTGCTTAGATTTATACGGGTTTTATGTAAAATGGAATACAGTTCATCAATTAATCCGTCACATCCACGATGGCGGATGGTTTCAGACCCTTCTTGAACTATGAATGACGTCACCATGACATCACTTTTCCCCCGCTTGGAGGGAAAAAAAGATAGAATTTCGATTTTGCCCATAAATTCAACAATATGACGTCAAATTTCGTGTCCATTTTGTGTCAAACATGTTATGCCTAGATGTTGGAAAAAATGAGTACATTATTCTGTGTAATTTTGGCGGTCGTAGCATAAGCGGTTGTGAAGTTATAGAGAGGGGCTCTAGCAGCCTTCCCACGGTCGCAGGAATCAAAAACAGCCTGTTCTGAAAAGGGTAATGTTAAAAGCAGTTTCTTCAGCTGATAATAAATAAACTTTATTTAAGTTTCAAGTCTTTAGCTATGAAGCTAATTGGGGACACTATGAAATAAAAGACATATATGTACAGCAATAAAATAAAATAATAACAGTTGAAAAATAAATGAAGAAAGAAAGAAAGAATTTTTGCAGACAAAGCAAGAAAGATTTAACAGCTACATAAGGTGCATTGCGACCCACATTTGTCTTCTGTCAAGTGACCGGCTATATTACTTTTCCTAATTTTCTTCAAGGCTATTGGTGATTTACGCCATAGATACGGACCAAGATATTATCTGATGGAGTGTTCACCAAAACTTATCGTGTTGAATCTAGGAATTATAATGTCAGAATTACGTAGATTATAGTAACGGTGTCCGATCTTTGAAACAGCTCAGCCGGAAATATAATCTGGAGATATTCCATTCTTAACTAAAAAGATCAAAATTGCCAAATCTTGCAGTCTTCTGTTATATAAAAAGTTGGTAGTGTTGCCTTTTTCAACAAGCTCTCGTAACATAATGTATTGTTATTAAATGCTGCTCGCAAGCATTTTCTTGCATCAGGTGTTGCATTAATTTGTTCCAATTTGCGCTTGTCGAATGCTCTTATGAATAACCATACAACTGAACAATAATTTAACCCAAGAAGGATAAGAGATTTAAAAAGACGCTTGGTCTTCTCTGGTACCAGTTTCCTCATCCTTGTAACTGCATAATACCATGAATCATGAAATGATCACGTAAACTAGCATTTATTATTCCGCTTGGTCTAAAATAATCAGGTTTATTAGACAGCAAAACCTCGATAAGTGTTTGCGTGGTTGATGCAACCCGCGTATATATCGGCCTATAGACATTTGAAATTGTAGATTTCCTTCAGATCAATCAACAATTTTCCCCCTCTTTTGTCCAAGCGCATACTTTCAAGGTTCAAATCACCCACGACGACAACATGATGCTTTAACGTGGTTGACCACATAAACAAATCTAGCTTGAGAAAGTAATCCGCGCTGTTTGCTTTTGGAGTGCTATTAATGCCCAGAATTAGGAGTTCTTTGCCTGCAATGTTCATTTCGAATGCCAGAACGTCGATAGTTTTGAATGCCTTGGGCAACTTGACCTTTTTCGACCCTAATGCCCATGAGATGTAAGCCTACAGGCCACCGCCAACTTTAGAACGATCTTTTCGAAATATTTAATGTGAACAAAAATTTAAAGTGAACAAGAACACGCCGTACGTTTCCTCCATAAAACGTGTAACCAGGAAGCTTCTGGAAGTTTCACGTTGTAGTCGTACAAAACAACAGCAAAGAAATGTACAAAGAAAGTGTGCTGCACGTGCAAAGCTGCTTTCTTGTTAATTAGACCTATTTTTTTTTTCACCGTTCTCATTGCCTTCGCCGCTTAACATTACACGATTTTACATTTTGTTTGAGCAAACTGTAAATATTATCGGGAGCTTCGCTTTTAGCCCTGGCTAAATCTATATATTATATTAATTCAACAGTCTCTATTAATTGAAGTTGTTAAGATGAATTAAAGTCTTTTGTGAATAGGTCCTAAAATCCCCTAAAGGACAGGCATACCGCAAGTTTAATTACGCAATCCTTGCATCGAAAACAGCTGCTTAGAATTTTTAGTCATCGTGCGCACCGAGCCGTTATCAATAGAGATCTTTACATTCCAAGAAGAGGACGACTACGCGTACGAGATTTTCTCAATACTAAGTAGTGCTCGCGCGTGAGCCAGCGTTATCATTTTGCGACCGGGAGAACGCTTAACCTCCTTCAATAAAGGTAATTGTGCTAATTGCTTTTATGAAAAAACAAACAAACAAACAAAAAATACAATGAAACTTCAGGGATGTCTATTTTTTGAGAAAACGCGAAAAACCTTCAAGTCAAATCTCCTTCTCGTCCTCGAATCTGTAAGGGTCTCTAATATTTTTAACAAACTTAGCCGTGATCTCTTGTGTCCCCATATTTTTTTCCTTAACTGCTATAAGACTGACACAAACAATATTTATTTTTTAAATATCTTATCTTGCTGACGAAACGAAACCCACCAAAACCGAAAAATGTAGGTTACCATTTTTTGAGAGGTACGTTAATTAATAATAATATAAGATAACCTTTAAACGGGTTGGCTCTGTTAGTCGCTAGATTTATTTATTCAGTATAAATTTTAATTGTTAAGTACAGATGACTGGCACAGGATTTATTCACCGTTTACACATCTCCCACAATACACCTTGTTTGCCCGCCAAAATTTTACATAACCTTTGTTTTTTAATTTTTGCTGGGTATAACAGTTGTCCCAAGAGAAATTGAAGACAATGCTTGAGCAAAATCTTGGGGAGCAAACATGGTGCATTATGGGAGATGTGCAAGTGGTGAATTGTATATGAGGGTACTGTACTATCTTTTCCTTAACAGCGGAGCTGCACGCGGAGCCTCATAGCTAAGAAAGCTTGGTTATCTATTCATCCGAGAAATTTTGGTAGTCACATGACCGTACATCTGTCCACACCACAGGGCAAACAATGTGAAATTTCACACTTTCTGGCTAATATTTGTATTGCTCATCCAAGCACATCCATGTTGTGGTCAAAACAGTATTACACGACCGAAAGGTTCAGATAATTTCATTCGATTGAGTGCCCAGCAATCAGCAGTAACCTTATAATAGAGATTGGTGCGACTCTTTGTTAGCGGTAGTATCTGCAACGAATCACCTTCAAGTATTCCTTCTGACAGTTTTTCTTGATATGACCCAGGTGTGCGTCCAGCCTTTTATCCAATAATAACAATGGGCGCGACTCTTTGATTGCGGCAGTAGCTGCAACGAAGCACCTTCAAATATTCTCTCCGAAACTTTCTGTTAATTAAAACTAATATGATGGGACTCACTGCGCTGCTTATAGTGCCCAAGAAGCTATATGCAAGGTAAACCTCGCGAGGAGAAATCCATCTCCCGTGAATTATATCGACTAAATCAATGGCAAGAATAGGAAC